ATTTTCATATATACTATGGAATATATGTATTCTTTTTTTATGGCAAGTAGCCCCCCCCCCCCCCCCCCCCACTTCGGGCTTGGTTCCACATCATGCTGCACCAAACGCAAAACCCAAACGGTGGCAGCTGAGAAGTACGCATCAATATCTTTTTTTTTGAAAGAATAATCGAGAATATTATTATTATTATTATTTTTAAACAGGGTAGGCGGGGCTTCTCGTTGCACTTGGATCCATATCTTGCTTCACCACCCATCAAAGTCGCATCGGGCCGGTAAGAAGTGCGCATGAATGTTTTGATTTTCATATATACTAAGGAATATATGTATTTCTTTTTTAATTCAAGAAGCGGGGGGGGGTGCACTTTGGGCTTGGTTCCACATCATGCTGCACCACACGCAAAACCCAAATTGTGGCAGCTAAAAAGTGCACATCAATTTTTTTTTTTTTGAAAGAATACTTGAGAATATTATTATTCTTTTTTTTTAAAACAGGGTAGGTGGGGCTTCTCGTTGCACTTGGATCCATATCTTGCTTCACCACCCACCAAAGTCGCATCAGGCAGTTAAGAAGTGCGCATGAATGTTTTGATTTTCATATATACTAAGGAATATATGTATTTCTTTTTAATTCAAGTAGTGGGGGGGGGGGCACTTCGGGCTTGGTTCCATATCATGTTGCACCACACGCAAAACCCAAACGGTGGCAGCTAAGAAGTGCGCATCAATTTTTTTTTTTTTGAAAGAATACTCGAGAATATTATTATTCTTTTTTTTTTTTAACAGGGTAGGTGGGGCTTCTCGTTGCACTTGGATCCATATCTTGCTTCACCACCCACCAAAGTCGCATCAGGCCGCTAAGAAGTGCGCATGAATGTTTTGATTTTCATATATACTAAGGAATATATGTATTTTTTTTTTAATTCAAGTAGCAGGGGGGAGGGGGCTCCGCCCCCCTCCCCCCGCACCCCCCCCCCACTTCGGGTTTGGTTCCACATCATGCTGCACCACATGCGAAACCCCGTGTGTACGTACGTGTGTGTGTGTGTGCATGTGCATGTCACGTGTGTGTGCCCCCATGTGTCTGTATGTGTGTGTGCGTGTGTGTCTGTGTTTGTCTATCTCTGTGTTTGTGTGTATGTGTGTGTGTGCATATGTGTGTGTGTGTGTGCGTATGTGTGTGTGAATGTATGTGTGTCTGTGTGTATGTGAGTGTATGTGTGTGTGTGTGTATGTGTAAGTGTGTAACCCGCATAATAAGACATGATTACAGTATGATACGAAAACCGCATCATACTCGAGCTCCGAAATAATATATCGGCGCACCTTAAGAATGAAAACTTGTAGGCGTGGTGCAGACACATCCGGTACTCGGAGGTGGGGAATGACTATGCCGGACTGCACGAGCAAAC